CGTCGCCGCCATCCTGCCGCCGCCAGCAGCGCACTGTTTCGGCCTGGCGCGGCGGCCGCACACCCGGACCGCTGCCTCCGCGCGGTGAGCGGTCAGCGCGGCCGCCCGACGCCCCGTCTCCCCGCAGTCCCCGGAGCGCCACGTGGGCCATAACCGATGCCTACCGGCGGCCTGCCCCCCCCCCCCCACACCTTCGGGAGGGAAGCCGGCCTCCGCCCCACCCCTCCCATAGCGCGCCGCGTCGCGCCGGGAAGTTCTTGTGCGGCGCCATCTGCGGCGCAGCTGGTGGCGCCACCACTGCTTGCCTGATGTAGCAACGTAAGGTGGCGCCATCAGCACGCCCTGTTCGGTGTGCGCCCTAGCGCTTGGTTATCATTGTTAATGCCGTTTTCATAATTTCATTTGTTGCATTTTAACAAAAAACCGTGTCGGGTGTAAATGCCCTTCACATCGTGAAGTGCCATCCGCTTTTCTTTTTCCTTCTCATGTTATCGAACATGTATTTTTCTGAATAAAAAATCTGTTCTTATCAGCTTAATATCTGATATTAAACTGATTTTTGAACATTGGCAGGGTTACTGGAGCTTGCTCCTACCCTACCGCGGGTTGGTCTGCCATTGCACTACAGCCAGGATCGACGCATTTTATGCTGTCAGCGGTGTCAATAAATCAATATGCTGTAATACATGTACAATCAGTATGTGTTTCAATATGGGTTGGCGCCTATGCAGCATGCGCACCGCGCGGAGAAGGCGCGGACGACTCAAGTTGCCACAAGATGCTCTGCAAAGCGTTATGCGAGCTGGTGCCAATGCGCGGCGGGGTGCGCACTGCCCGCCGTCGGCTGGCTATCGCTCGTCCGGCCGGCGCACGGAGCCAGGCGCGCGCACGCCGGCCCTGCAGAGCGGCAGCGTCCGGCACGACACAAATGCACCTTTTGCAGTTGCATCTGCATCGCTTCTACCGTATCGGCGTATCATCACCATCATCGTATCGGCATACCGTCCCCATCCCTAGCGGCTCAGACCTGGCGCCGCGTGTCGGCGCGGCACAGTGGCCGTATACCTGGCCGGTGCCATCACGGACTGCGTAGTCGGTGCGGCTGCGATTCATGCAGAATCGAAGGGGGCCTGGTGCGGCCCCCGCCGACGGCCTGCCCCCCACCCCTGCCTACCATCGGGAGGGAGGCGAGCCCGCGCCCCACCTCATTGACGGCGCGCTGCGCCTTGCCGTGGGGTCATGAGATTATATCGTATTATCTTGTAAAGAACCACTGTGTCGCCTGTACATGCGCTCCAGAGCCTGGAGCGCATCCGTTTTTCGTTTTCCCATTTACTGTTATCAAACATGTACTTTTACAAATAAAAAATCTGTTGATCTTAGCCAAAGGGCCAGTGTTTTCGCGTGCCAGCGGTCTCTATCGCGCGACCTGGTATTCGCCTTATTTATTGCGTTTGCGCCCGCCATCTAGGGACGTCGCGGGACACCACCGACGTCCGAAAATCACCGGGACGACGAACATCCGCCCCAGCCCAGGTGGACGCCGGAGACGCCGCGCCGGGTGGACGCCGGTGGACCACGGGATCGTGGGCGGACGACACGCCGTTTCCAGTGATCGGCCCCGCCCTATCCCCGAGGTCCCCATCCACCGTATCGCCGGAGCCCGCGATGCTGCCGGCCCCGCTGTCGCCGGCGCTTGTCGGCGCAGCGGCCCGGGGTGCGGCGCCGCCGGCGCCCGGGAGTGTCGCGTCGCGGAGTGGTGGTGTGCCGCGGCCCCCCGGCCGGCCGGGGGCCGTCCCCAGTGATTCCCCTGTACCGACCGCCGCGAGTGCTCCCCTAGTGCCGACCGCCGAAGCGGTCTCGGTGCCGCCTCCCCCCCCCCCCCGCGCCGCGCCGCCCAGCACAGTGTCGCCTGCGCTTGTGGTGTCGCCCGCGCTGACGCCTGCACCGCGGAGTCCAGGAGCCGCGGCTCTGTCTCCTGCGACGGCTGCCGCTGTGACCCGGCGATCGACGCCCTCGCCGCGGAGCCCCGGGCTCTCGATACCCACAATCGTGTGTGACACTCCGGTGGCGACACCCGTCCGCCGGGTGCGTTCGTACGCCGAAGATGCCGCCGGGCCGCTGCAGCCACCAATGGGCCGCCGGCCGGCCTGCCGCCCCTCCCTCCCTCCGCCCAATGCCCCATTTGATCCGTGTATTAGTGTAATCACCATATCACGAAACGTCCCCTCCCCTCTGAAAGTTCCTATGGCCAGTGTGTGTATGTGCTGTTGATTCTTGTTTGATCTGTGTATTGGTGCAATCACATGACAATCATCGCGAGATGCTGCCCCATCGGCGGAACTGTGTGTTATTGATTCTTATTTGATCCGTGTATTGGTACAATCACATGACAATCATCACGAGATACTGCCCCATCGGCGGAATTGTGTGCTGTCGATTCGTATTTGTTCCGTGTATTGGTGCAATCACATGCCAATCATCACGAGATGCTGCCCCATGGGCGGCATTGTGTTTTTTTTTATTTGATCCGTGTATTGGTGCAATCACATGACAATCATCACGAGATGCTGCCCCGTGGGCGGAATTGTGTGCTATTGATGCTTATTTGATCCGTGTATTGGTGCAATCACATGGCAGTCATCACGAAATGCTTTCTCATGGGCGGAATGGTGTGTTATTGATTCTTATTTGATCCGCGTATTGGCGCAATCACATGACAGTCATCACGAAATGCTTTCTCATGGGCGGAATGGTGTGTTACTTATTCTTATTTGATCCGCGTATTGGCGCAATCACATGACAGTCATCACGAAATGCTTTCTCATGGGCGGAATTGTGTGTTATTGATTCTTATTTGATCCGTGTATTGGTGCAATCACATGATAATCATCACGAAATGCTTTTTCATGGGCCGAATTGTGTGTTATTGATTTTTATCTAATCCGTGTATTTGAGCAATCACATGACAATGATCACGAGATTCTCCCCTCTGCCCTGCCGATTGCCGAACTTCAAATCGAAAAGACCAAAGGAATCACACCAGTTTGACAACTCAGAAAGACTCAGCGAATAGCAGCAAACGACTCAACCAACGAACAACAGAAAGCACTCCTGAATATCATCCGCATGCAACGCATTAGTTCGCAAAAGCCAATGTCAACATTCTCAAGTTGCTCGATAAGCATGCTCATTTCCGCCCGTCAAACAAGCTCACCACACAAGCGTGCGCTTTCTTGCCGGCAGCGTGTCTCCAAGGCAAAATAACATTTTCTTCTTAAGAAAGACGCCGGCGAGTGCTTCCTGTGTAGGCCACGGAAGACGGAGAACAAAGAGGAACTTTGTAGCAAGTGAGGAGGGCGAGATTCGACCCACGCGCATTGAGCCTCCTTAGTCGAACCTTAACCGCCGAACAGACGGTCGGAAGCTATCGGTGTGGTGACTCCATAGCTCAAGATGGACGCCATTCGCGTTGATTCACCGCCGTCAAAAGCCACACCTACCGCTCACGCTTGATTAATTGAACGCAGCTACACCGAAGTCCAACACAGCGTCCATGTTATAAGTGAACTAGCGCGTCTGAACGCCCCCGCGGCATGAATTTGGCCGGAACTTTGCATGCTCGGCATTGTCACGAACTTCACGTAAAAGATAAGTTGAGCAAAAGGTAACTGTTCCACATCGCAGGGAAAGTGTGCCACTGCACGCATTGGTGTCGACTGAAGAGAGGATTGTTGCGGGACCGAACAACAACATGGATGATCGCATTTACTGAATTTGAAGTCTTAACCAAAAGTCGTAGCATTGATAAACGTGCCGGCTTCATGCCTTGATGCTTGAGTGGCGGTGAACCAGATCGATACAAAACTGCAACCAAGTTGCTTTCCACACAAGTGGCAGGAAACAGCTCTGGACCAGCCGGACGTTCCACGCGCCGGTGCCCAAAATCCCAGCGCCCCGCCAACGGCATTCGAGGGCGCCGTTCTTTACTGCCCTCTAGATCACGAGTGCCAGAAACAGCCGGTAGATGACGCTCGGCTCACTTCCGGAGCGCGCGTGGTTCGGTGCGATGCGTATGCCGCACTGCTGATCGCAGCTCTCCATACGATAATGTGTCATGGCTATCACTAGCAATACATCCCTACATTGTGTGCGCCACCCCAGTCACCAGCAGTCTTCCTCCATGTTCTGGGAACGTGTTCATCCACTTGCCGCCAACATGCCGGACAGAACCCGTAATCCAGGGGGTCAGACCGAGGAACCCTTCGGACCTCCCCACCGCGGTGTGCTCACTTCTTCCCGGTGAATAACATAATACATAATACATGCAACGCTTCACCTCCAGCCGCCTAAAACGACTAAGTATCCAGCGATTCGGCCAAGCAACGAATCATCATAAATGTTCAAACACGCCTCTGTGTCATTTCCAATGGAGCCCCTATCAAACAGTCACACATGCATTGAACATTTTGCGCCATACACACAAGGAAGAACCTGGAACTATCTCAAGTATCGCGATCATAGCGCATTAAAAAAAAAAAAATGGCTGGCGAAAAACCTACAGAGACCGACTTGGCCCGAACTGTGGTAGGGTTGAATGGCCTCCCAGGCTCATGGTTTCGCTTCGATGGCCGGGTATCAGTGATGCGGTTCCTCAACGTTTCCCAGCGCCTCAAGGGCTACTCAAAACGGTCCACACCGTCAGCAACACCTAGAGCACTTCGTGCAACTCGAATAACAGGCAGCGGGTGGGCCTGAAGCTCGTTTGTTTTTGTTTAGCCGTTTCCGACAGTCCTCTAGATCGTAAAATGCCATTCAAGGTTTTCTCATTTCACTTACGTGCCCGGGCGATTCGGGGCGGCGTGCCAAGAGAAAAGAGGACTTATCTTAAGAAGCCGAAGATCAAGTAGAGGCTGGCTGCAGACCTTGAAGCTTGTCTGGAGCAGACCAGAAGCTTCTGGTCTGGTGTGTTCCGGAGGCAGACCCAGCACCAGGAGCGATCACACGCCGCTGGAACACAGACAAGTGGCCGTCAAGCGACTGGGGTAGTCTGGTGCATGGACATCGATTCTGGAGGAACCGCAAGGGAGTCCAGTTTTAACAGCTATCACGGGACAGTTACCCTGTAATCCGTACAGTTGGCCAAGACCTTTGTGACCTAACGAAAGCCATGAAGTTCTAAGCGGATATACAATTATAAAATAGACAAACTAGAGGTTGCATTTGGAAGTAAGATAAATAAAGTAACAAATCAGTCCAGCAGGTGGGTCGACGTGATAGCACATCTTGCATTATTTCTTTTCCGGAACAATTCTGACAAAGGTAATTAAAGTTGCTTCGAAGAATACCGCAAACGTGTGCGTAGTTTCATTTAGTCACAATTGCACGATATGAGCAGTACGTTCAGTTGTCTGCAATCGGTGTCAAACTTGAGAGTCTTGAAAAACAAGATACAAAAACATTCAGCATAACACATTCGTCACAAAATACACCCAAGTGTTACCTTTTCGCCGAGCATCCAAAATCCCATAAAATAAGGGGAAATAACGGCTTCTCTAGAGTACCATGCTACCGCGCCCACCATACCACTTCCAAAAAACCGCAATATAAAAACTGCCTCGTCTCGAAAAAACACTACTCGAATTCGCGATGAATGCAACGCATATCAGATACCACACTCCTTGCAATGCGAAACTAGCAGGGGCTTGACGCATTACTGGGCTTAGGCATGAAAAACATTTCGAGTTACCTGAAAAACGCACTGCTGGAGTCGTGAACTAAGCAGCTCATAAGCGGCGCGATCGGGCACTTCCGCGACTGAGAGTTGACCGCGTGCAACGCCTCAGCACCGCAGCACCGACAAGCAATGCGGCCGGCGCCAGGTCGACCCTTCCTGTTGGCTCCCCTGCCGCCGGGAAGCCGTGCCCACCCATTAGTCCATTCCTGGTAAGGCCACATTCCAGGGTATTCACACCTGGCGCATGGGTGGCCCCCCGGGCGTCCAGGTGGGCACTGGGCAGGGGCCGCCGGCCGTCGAAGGGTGGGCATTCGGCGAGCGAGCTGGCGCGGACGGAACTCGGGACAAGACTCGTGGCCGCCAACGACAAATGCCACACAGTGTCACCCGCTTGTGCCCTGCTCGAACTGCACGCTCAGATCACGTTTATGGGCCGTTCGCACGGTAAAACGCGCTACCATGCACTTCGTCACTTATTCCTCTCTATACCGAGGCTTGCGCCGCGTCCGGTCCGCCGGAATGGACAAAAAAGGTTGTTGAACATTCCGTTAGAGGTCTGGTAGATCCGACTTAATCAGATAATTTGTAACCTGATAGAGAACCAGACAACCAGAGGACCTGATACAACTGCGGGAATCTGGCGATCACGTTGAAATAGCACGGCAGAAGGAAGACCAACGATAAGTAGTTAACTAGCCATCTGTTTTTTGACGTGGATGATGTAGAAATGACCCATTTCTTTTCATGATGTCGATGATGGTGTGCCCCAAAAACTACTGCTTCGATGCTAGAAGCGCTGAAAAGCTGGCGCAATCACGGCGCGTTTGTGACACATGAAATGGAAGAAGTGGAGCAAATGAAAGCAGTCAAAATTTCGCACCTCAAATTTGCATCCATAAATCACGATCTGCCTGTACAGGCAGCATTTGGACAACAAACGTTGTTGTGATGAGTAATATTTCCTGTTTAGCACCTTTTGCGCATATGATGTTAACTTTAGTTTGTGTATGTGAGTATAAAAGGTAGAAGAGACAAACTGAGGTAAAGTTTTACTCATAATCGAAAATATAACGTCTTAAGTGCATGATGGGTGTCCCGTTCTGATCGCTCATATCAACTCACTTTCAATCCAGACGCATCAGTCGGTTGATGCTGTAGTTTCGTGGCCAAATCGGGCCAGGGAGAGAGCACACACGTCCTCTCCCCGCGTCACTCTGAGAATCAACTGTATCGTTCAGTAGCCGGCCCCGGCCGCCTCGCATAGCAGTCACATATGGGGTCCGGCTGGTAGGAAGGGACACGCGGCAAGAATAAGAAAACGGGCCATCAATATAGAGGGTCGTGACGGGTCTAGCGCTAGGGTGAAGTAAACACAAATTAAGAGGAAAGGCAGGCATCACCGACATTTCACAAAACCACGGACAATATAGAAATAAGGGCAGATTTGTCCGCAACAATGGGTGTTCCGCACAAATCGGCCCTTACACGGTTCCCCTTTTTGTGAAATGTCGGCTTTGCTGTCCCGTCTCTGAGCTTCTGTTTTATCTCCATTTCTCGGTCCCCTGTCGAGTTTCCCTTGAAGATTTATGTTTTGTTTAGTTTACGGTCCCTGCGACCCCGGCCCTACGGCCAGCCCGGAAACTGCGCCACATGTGTCGTGTTCTGTGCAGGGCCGCGTCGCCCGTTAACCGAGCAGTTGTGTCGCGGGCGCCGCCAAGGAGAGGACGCATATGTCCTCTTCCTGGCCCGATATTCAAACCTCAAAATATAGCATCAGCCGACGGATGCGTGTTGACGAATCGAACGACACCGAACAATGGGAATTTTGGATATTCTGAAATAATGGTACGATTAATTAAATGCCTATTAAACATAACTCACGCCGGGACCTACAGCAGATGTGAAAGCTTCGCTCGACGAGCGTCAGACTTGGTGAAGAAGTTCACAACTTCCTTCGTGGCTGGGAGAAGGTCGCGGTGCGTCTGGCTCATCACCAACGCGTCCAGGCGCTCCTCACCCATCGTCGCGCGGACCTCGGTCAGCGTCCGGGCGACCTTACTGAAGGTCCGCTCGGCCTCCGCAGCGGACACCGCCAGCACCGCTAGGATCTAATGAGAGATATTGGAGGAATGTGATAGTGACTGGTGATCCAGCAGGATTATTATTTCTAATGAAAAACATCCCCCGGGAAAATTATCACGTTAATTATAAAATGAACGACAATAATATATTATAATCAAACAGTAAATGATATAGCATTAGCGTCGATTGGGTAAATGAAAAAGACCAAATAATTCCGCAAATTTAATGAAGGCGTCAGGTATTTGGCATCTGCTAATACTTCAGGTATAACACATATTAATACAGTGGGCGCAACATGACCTAGTCATCGACGCACCCTTCATCCCCAATAAAGAAACGAACATATCATCCTATAATCACGGTATAAACATGTCTGAAGACACTAGTACCATCGAATCTATTCAATCAACGCGTTGCCCATTCGAGTGTTCAGTTTTTAACTATCTTCTCCCGCACTGGTCTTTATTATTTTGACATGGCCATTCGACCGCTACTGCGACCTTTCATAACTGGTATGGCATCAATTAGAAAAATCAAGAAAATGTGACGTTCTAAAAACGATATAACACAATATTATTGAAAAAAATTGTATATAACGGAACAATACAGTGCCGTAACGCATAACATGATACAGAGCAAGAAGATCAAGTATATCCCAGCTAAGCCATTCAATGTACGTATATTGAGGAAAGTAGTATTGAGTTCAGTGCCAGACGGCGGAGTACGATGGACTAGAGCAATGCGTGTATGTGAATGGACTAATGACTTTGGTGGAGTACGGTGGAAGCTGAAAATGTTAACCCGGGGCAGGCGGTGGATGGTCGGGAAGGGTACAGGGTCGCAGCGGTCCAGCGCTGCTACCGCGGAGTCAGGTACCACTTAGTCCTGGCTGCGCCGCCATATGGCCGACCAGACCTGAAGCTCGGCCTTCGTGTCACACTTGAAGCTCTGAGGAAGAACCGGTCGGTAGAGCTCCCAGCCTGGACGGATGTCCTCCATGTCACGCCGGCCACCCTTGTTGGTAGAATGCCCGAAAGCGAGAACGCCTGGCGGTGGTACGTCTGTCGTAACGCCCCAGCTCGCTGTCCAGCATCACCAGTGCCTGTGTGGTCGCTGCCGAACCTCTCCTCCATGTCCTGCTGCACTGCGTCGATGGCTGGGAAGTACACATTCACGCGGAAGTAGCCGGTGACGCCCAGGTCGTCGCCCACGTTCGCTCTGACGGTAGAGCGGTGCGCAGGGATCCGCGGCCTCTCGATGGTTGTGTCCAGCTCTTCTGCCATCATCTGCGCTTCGGCCATCAGCTCATCGAACGAAGAAAGAAGACCCGAACGATGACTGCCGGTGCGCAGGTCAGTGAGTGTACTGATGGTGGTCCTCGCCAAGCCGAGCGTCTGGATCAGATCTTCACCCGGTTGCTGTAGCTTGAGGGATACTGGTCGCAGCAGACTGCCCAGCTCCTTCATGGTCACGATGGCCACCAGGAAGTCCGAAGCCGCCATGGCCTTCAGGAACATATTCGCCTTTGATATGGTGATTGCGTCGGTCCAGTCGGTCATGAGACGCAGGTCGTCCGCGATGGCTGCGAACTGTTCACAGAAGCGACGGACAGACGTGTAACGCTCGACAAATCGAGTCACGCACAGCTTGATCAGGCGCTGTTGACTCTGACCTGTTCTCTTCTGTGCCTGCTGTAGGACCACGGAGCGCTTGGCGCCGTCGGCCACGAAGGCTATGACTGTCTCCATCGTTCCTTGTGCGTTCCTCACCGCACGAACCGAGCTCATCTTGGATGCGGCGAGGTTAAGGCCGTGCATCGCGCAGTGGTAGTAGTGGGCCAGGGGTGCCTCTCGCTGGACATGGGCCGCCACGCCAGCCTTCATGCTGGACATGGCGGCAGCACCGTCGTAACACTGCGCGATGAGGCACTTCTTGTCCCGGTGAAGGCGGTCCACAGCTTCGAGTACAATTTTTACCAGGTTTTGACCGGACAGCTTGACCTCGCTTTCCGTTTCTGCGGCGTTCAGCCTCTGGAAGACGTCTGCGAGGCTGACCGGGCCCCCGCGCAGCACGTCTTTCCCATCCTTTTGGTCCAAGTATCTCACCGCGATCACCAGCTGCTCCCGGTGAGCCCTGACTGTAGTCTCATCGGCGATTATAGCCCACAGCGGCGAGGCAGCGACTTTTGCTGACATCGCGTCCTGCAGCAGCCGAAGCAGATCATCTAGAAGTTCGTTTTGAGCCGCTTTGCTAGTGTAAAGTGTGGCACTGGCGGCCCAATTCAGACGCCCTTGCAGCTCCGTGTCGCCATTCTGCAGTCTGAGCCGCAGCAACATCCGAAAGTTCCCGTCATTATATCCGGGGTACACTCCAGATGGATCGATACGCCCGTCATCCCGATGGCCTCTCAGTGGGACGTTTTGCATGGCAGCAAACCTCACTGTGTCCACGATGCTGCCCAGGGCCGCTCGGGTGCGTTGTATCTGACGACTGTTGGCGGCAGTCAGCATGGTCGAGACGGGTTCGTCGTTCGCGACGGTTCGCAAGAAATCTGCGGCGGCAGCGAATGACTTTTTGTGACACTCATTTCGGTTGTGCACGCTGAGAGCACCTGCCATCCCAGTTATGTCGGAGAAGTCCCGCAGTGGACGAGCTACCAACCTGCCCAGTGGCTGGTTCCTAACACCAGGCCTGCCGCCTGCCTCCGCCGCTGTTGCAAACAGCACGCAGGACGCGCACCATGCCCCCAATGTTCCGGATGCCGCGAGACGGCCAGCCATGAGAACATGTCGATGTGCGTGTCGTTGGCTCTCGGGTGCGGAGCTGTCCCCCCCCCCCCCCCCCCACGCCGGTGTTCAGAAGTTGGGAAGTCGCTCTTTATTGAAGGCTTCCACCGCTGTTTTAGGGCAGCCTTGATAGCTGCGGTGTCGACCTTCTCTCCCGCTCGTTTTTAAGCGACGTCTCCGAAACCTATTGGGGGGACCACCACAGGCGTGAGAGTGAGAATGGTCTCTGCCAACTCTGCTGCTGGCGCCGCAGTCTTGGCTTGTGCCACTCACCTCCGTTTGGTGCGGGCGACGGCGTGCTAGATGGACTGGAGAGTGCAGATGGCGAGCATACCGTGCTTGTCTGCGCCATTGTCGACGTGGCACTCTCGACCAATCAGAAGTGCTGTAATCGTCGGCTGGCATCGCGAAATGCTAAGAGGGTAGGAAAATTCTGATTGAGTGATAAATATGTCGCGCAGAAATACAAATCGACACGGTTTCTTTGCGCCACCGAAAAGAACATGTGCCGGTAATGTTTGAAGTGCGGCAGAATTATTGAATTGACCAGTTATTATGTAACCACATATACCTAACCAAGAACATTCCCAATGTCATGCAACGTACCAGTCTTACTGCTTCAAGCAGAAGTAAACAAATGAGCAATACACCAGCGATATTTTGTGAAAGTATAGCCCAACCGCGCCGCGTCAATCCATTGTTAGATGATCCATTCACCGCTGTGAAACATGACGTCCCGGGGTCTCGCCCGCGCTAAAAAAGTGGAGCTATTCAAGGAAATAAGGAGCAGGAAATCGGTAAGATCTCGTTTTCCCCCTGCAATGCATTGCAGCGTGAACATGCTTGGTACTTACCTTTGGTGATAGGCACTTACTATAACAAAATCAACATGAAACCAATTTTACGAGGACAACCATGGGGTAAATTCTAATATATGGTAGCTGTAAAGGTGCTGCTTCAAAGCTTAAAGCACTGATTACCATTCCTCTGTTTTAGTAACCAGAAAAGCAAGTTTCAAGTGATTTCCGAAAAAAACACTTGAAATATAATAAAGAGCATCTAAACCGTCACTGCCGTTGTCAAAAGGACTTGAAACTGGAATAAACTACCACTTCCTTGGAAATCTCGACGACCTTGGCCGCAACGTTTTAATAAATCAAAACCAAAAACCAGTTCCTGCCTTCATCTAACTCATTTTGCTAGATATGCGTGCCTGCACCCAATCATTAGTCTGTTTTGGGCGGTCTCACAATGTAAGAGGCTGACTAGCCCCCATTGTAAGTTTGCACTAGCTCTCCAGGACAGAATGTTACGGCTGCGGCAGGCCCGTCCGTCGTCATTTAGATAACTACTCTTTTCCGCAGCAAATGTTCGGAACATTTTCAGCCGCAGCCGGCCAGGCCAAACGGCAAAACCAGTGGGCAGAGATGCTCGCGCTTGCCCAAAGGCTCGGGCTGGTGAAGACCACCACCACCGTAAAACAGGTGCCGCATAGCATTTATGCCAATCAATTGCGCGCGACCCGAGGTGAGTTTCATTGGCTCTATGCTGGGGAGATCCAATATTTTTTTTTGGGAAGACATCGGAGCAGTACGCTGAGCAAGCTCAGTACGATAATTTGAAACTTTATGTTCAGAGCCACTCATCGTACTTATTTATCTAAAGAGGAGTGGTAAGCCCCCACCCCCCCTGACGCCCTACGCTCACCTACCCTCTCTGTTTCGTCCATGATTTGAAGCAAAGAATACACAACGCCTAGAACTTATACATGTTACTGTTAAGCGACCTAACATTGATCCTAGAAAATGTTCTGCGGAGAAAATCAGCATTAGAAAGCGAGGGGGGATAATACAGCTTGATTACATTTGCTTGCATACCCGCCTAGCCTGAAACATGGCGACTACACGACGCCCGTTTCATTCCATACACAAGTGCGATGCGGCTGTGCGGATCACCTTGCGCAAATCGAAGGGAGAAACCACACGCCCAGCTCACCATGTTGTTATGTTCCATTGTGTCGTCACAAGCCCTGCTGATGGCGTGACACTGGCGGAGTGCTCACTTCGGGAGGCTCCCGGCCATCTTTAACGACGAGCGTGATAGCGTGGAATGCTTGCAATTCAAAGATATAGTATCCCTGTCTTCATTTGTTATGCATAAAAACCGAGATGCTGTCTTGACTGATATGGAGCAGGTTCACCAACGCATTGACTTGCACGATTTTGGGGCTCATCGTGGACGATAATCAACAACGCTCGACTCCCAACACCACCCACCAACCACGCACACGCGATGGAAATCCTGCCCCGATGGCGCGGTTTCGCTGCCAAGGTCACTGATAGTGATGGACAGTTCGCCTCAAAATACGTCAGTTGTAGGAGGCGGATTATTGTGGGCTCAGTCCGGTTGCACACGGGGCAGGTCTTCGTCCAACTCTGTTAAACGCAAATTCTCGAAGCTCCAAAGTTTGTAAAATTATCAGTGACCCGCTTCTCCCGAGATCATCCGTGGTAATGAGCATCGCCAGCCGAGACCGCCATAAATGCTCAGATATGGCAGGAGAGCAAGGGCGGAGCCAGTTAGTCAAAGAAAGGAGGGGGGGGGGGGGCGGAGCAACACCGATTTAAGAGCCAAATTACGAAAAGTGTGTTCATTTTCCAAACCGATGCATTTCAAAATCGACGGCCTTCCTTAACCAGAACCTCTCAGGGGCTCTCAAAATATTTTAACCTTGTCTTGGAAAGAAGTGTTTCAGTGCAGTGTTCCATAAACAGTAAGGCGAAACTTTGCGACGTTGCCGGCGCCACTGAATATTACGTCTCATGATGCTTGGTTCACGGTGCAGGTCTCAACTTATGTGACAGTTGCCCTTAGAAATCTTGAATCACCATCCCGTTTACGGTTGGATGCTTTTTCATCATGGACCACTGTCTTATGTTCACTGCGTGGCGAGGTCTGGTAGTCATGGCAACGCTGCTATTTGCTTCTCCATCTTCCCGCCAGCCGCACGTGGATGGCATGACGCGGCTTGGCGTGGCGGCGCCTGCAGTGGCCGCGTCAGTTGACGTGGCGAAGCGAGGTCTGGTAGCCATAGCAACGCTGCTAGTTGTTTCTCCGTCCTCCTGCCGGCTGCGTGTGGATGGTGCGACGCGGCTTGGCGTGGCGACGCCGGCAGTGGCCACGTCAGTTAACGTGGAGTATACTTTATCCACAGTGAATGCTCCAATCCCATCTTTTGGTTGTTCTAAATGCTGACGGACGCTATCAAACAGACGCCATCTTAGCCGTCGCATTGACGGGGAAACGGAAAGGCGCGGGAACAATGTGATATTGGAATAGGTCCGGAGTACCATCTTACCGATGTTCTCAGTACCTTGCACTACGTCGATGTTGCTAAAAAATGAGTCCAGGTCGTGCCGGGCTAATGACAGAAAAAGTTTATGTCAGGCTGTATCGGACTGAATCATTATACATGGTGTTCGCTGCTTACATGCTCCAATGTGGTCATGCGTTTCGATCAAAACTTCCCAATTCGCGATTACACAACCATGTTAAGGGAGGGGAAGAGATGCGCAAAAGGGGATGTGCACATTTAGAGTATTGCAACGATTGTGACGCGATATTATGTCACCCCTTCTACACGGTAATTTCTTCAACATATGGTTTCAGGCATAACATTTGTCTGCTGACTTGGGTTTCACGATGTCATGAGCGCATTAAGGTGGGCAAAAGTGGACGTTATGATCACACTTGGAAAAATTTCGGAAGATGGTAAATGACAGCCAAAATGGGCTGAGACCAACCGCGAAACGAAATTGTATTATTTTTTGACGCTATCTGATTTTTCATTTGCGCATGTTGTTAGACTCAATTTCATCTAAAAACATAACTTATCGCCGATGCTGTATATGCGCATACCAACCATCTTCTAACATAATTAACAGGGACCTAAGCTGGTCCCAAATTGGGAATGCACGGGAAAGGGGATCAGGGTAGGCCAGCCTTTGACGCCAGGCTTATCAAGCTGGCCGGTAAACTATACTCCAGAGGGGTTTTTGATTCCCTATAGCATACAAATTCACCACTCAACGATAACAGATTTGGCCCCATGGGACCAAATATGAAAAAGTACCCCCAAACGAGAAATGACGAAGGGAGGTAGAGATACACAGAAGCGTTTAGACACAAAGATACGTCGTGGTACGAAAATGTACTTACCTTATGATAAACACATACCTCGGGCTTACAATTTCACGCTTGTTTCAATCGCTTGATGTGAAGCCATGAGTTTTGCTCTTGCTAGCCCTGCTCGCCGGGCATTTTAGACCTGTTCCCATATCAGGACCCTGTCTAATAATGCTTGCGTGAAGAGGACTGTCATGCACATGCCCTAATAAAAAACGATGAAA